AAGTTGAAGTTGCCGCGTGTTACAAAATAAATTGAAAGAGGAGCACGCCCGAAACTTTCTCTCTTTCGTTTCTCGTTGTTCGTTATTTTCCTTTTATTTTTTATTTTATTTCTTTTTTTTTGTTTGGCCGAGACATACAAATTGCACGGCTCAAAGGAAAGTTGATGAGCCCGCGAAGTTGGTTATAAATTTCGCTTGAAGAATGATTTCATTTTGCGCCCGGCAATGGCGACGCGTTAATCTGCAGCGACTCTAGAGCTCCCAGAGGGCGAGTTCTGGGCTCACAGCCGACTCTATTGAACCCACATATAAAATCAATAATAGCATAAATAATATACGTGTAGAGTTTGTGTGTTGGAAAGCCCAAACAAAAAAAAAAGTGGAGAAAAAAAGGAGCGCCCCGAGAGACAAAGGCCTAGGCCGACAAGGCCCATGGGCCAGACGAAGGACCTGGCCAAAGAGAGTCCTCTCCTCCTCGACACATGCCTGACACAACACAAAAACGAAAGCTAAGCCGAAAAAAAAATTAAGGAGCACAGGCACAGAGGGGGAAATGGAGGGAAAGCGGAGGCCTGGATGGAGTGGGAAACAGGAGCAGGGCCAGGGCAAACCTTTAACTAACACACAAAAGGCTTTCTCAATGGTTTCTAAAGTTGCAGGCTTTCAGCTAGCGATAAAAAAAATCTAAAAGACACTCTACCAAAATCTTAGGTCTTTGAAATTAATAATATATAAAATTTAAAATAAATTAAATGTATATATTATAGATTTAATTTTGCAATACAAATATTTTTTAAAGGTGAATAATTTAAAGAAGCCCTGTAAGATTTTCTTCTTAATTTTAATAATAATAATAATAAACTTATCCCAATGTTTTAGGGACCACAAAACCTCAAAGACTTTTTTTAGTTCTTTAGTTCGGAATATTGGTTGCAGTCTCCTTGGTTTTTTCGGTTTTTCCAACAGTGTACAGCAATGTGAGAGCACATGGGGCAAAGCGCGAAGGAGGCTGGGATTGAGTAGGGAGTAGGGCGAGTGCAGAGTAAACATGTCGAATGAAGGATACTTAAGCAGCTCTGCGAACGAGGGTTGACCGAGAAGTTGACTTGCAGCAGGAGGGTTTTTTAGCCGAAAAGTGACTTTCAACAGGCTTTTGGATATTTTGCAAGGATTTGTTTTGTTTTTCTTTCTTTTGTTGGGCCAAATGTGTAGACAATCTTCGAATAGAAATTATTCTAATCTAACTTTATGGCTACATTTTAAATTTATTCAGCGAACTTTTGCATTAACTAAAGATTTGAATTTACTGAAAGACTTAAGATGCCTTTAGGAATATTTACGAATGATTCAAGATACAGATATCTTATATAGCCTCAATTTTCTCTTCTTAAGATATGTAAAGTTTAATAAGGTGTTTTTTATCTTTATAGTAGAATTCTTTATCATTTCTTAATCTTAATCTTTAAGTTACCTTTAGCTAAGATCAACTTTTCTCTTGAACCTCGCCCTGGCAGCACTCCACTTTATTTGGCTTTGCCACATTACAATATTATAAACATTAATCCGTTCCAAAGGGCGAAACACAAATGGAACAATTCCTACCCAGGGAGGCCAAGAGGGTGAAAGCAAGCAGATACTTTGACACACTCTCCCAGATGTCCCTTCTGGATGTCGAGCGCCACTTAATGACATAAACACTGGCGCGATGGTGAGTCCTCTGGTGCCGGGACCGAACTCCGCCGGAAGTTGTTCTAATGAGAAAACCGTTGAGCCGCCAATCCGGCATTGTCGTCCTTGCTCACGGACGACCACAAATCGGGTACAAGGAGCTCGAGGAGCAGGAGGGGCATCCCACTGGCACTAATATTATTAATTTGCAACTTTTGCTGTTCGCCGCCGCTGCGAGAGTTAAGTCAAAGGCAAAGGCAAATATCATTCATGGCATTTAGTGGGCAATAAAATACGAGGCGGCGCGGAAAGGGAATTTCCATTTCCATTTGTATTTTCATTTGTATTTCCATTTCCAGTCGAGTGCTTGGGGAAAATGCGAAACTGATTTAAATGCTTTCTTAAGCGTATTTCCGGCTTCGGTTGTAAATATTTGCTTAACTGATTGCACAGAGAGGCGAGTCCGGTGCGGGACACTTTTGCGAATTAAGTCCTTGTTGCTCCTCAGATTGCTTTTTGTGGTTGCTTTCTCTCGCTGTAGTTGCCTCACTGGTCTCTGTTTTGTTTCTGTTTTCTGTTTTCTGCTCTGTGTTCTCTGCTTTCGTTTTGTGCAATTGACATGTTTTTATTAAACCTTTCATCGATTGCAGAGCAAATGGGTTGCAATATAAAAGATAAAAGAATACAAGAGTTGTGGTTCTCGTTAAGCAAAAACTTCCATCAAAGTGCGAACAATTTGTGGTTAATAAAAACCATTTAAACGAACTCCAGCTGAACGATTTTAATTGGGAAACAAACATAAAGTGGCAAAGAGGGAGTATTAAAAATATAGTTGGGATATGAGTTTAATAAAATTTAAAACCACAGGCCACTCTTTATTTGTAAAATATATATTAAAACATCTTTTTTCTGAAAAAAACTATTTAAAAATTAACATTTGTTCGTTAGAATTGATTTTTAAATAATTTTGTTGAGAGTATTATCACTTTTAGCTCTATTTTCATTGCAAATATTTACGCTTTCAATTAGGAAATGTGTATAATTTATGTGTTTATGGATTGACAACATTCTCCCCTAATTAAATTTTCAATCAGAGCCGACAAAAGTGTGTGTTCACCATTGTGGGTGGCATCATTATGCCAGCCATGGATTTGATTAGCTTATGGCTAAATCCAAACAGACACGCCAATCGGAATGGTGAAGCAGAGCAACAACAATGGCCCAAAGGCATTCATTCTATTTATCATTTATCCCAGCCATTTATCGAAAGACATTCGAGACATTCGCTGCTGCGATGGGGACTCTGATGAGATATTGCCCAAATAAATGGAGGCATTTACATTTAAAACATTTATGCGTAAATATTTGCCGGCTTTAAGGGCATTAGCCGCATATTGTCTTACATTCGGTATGGGTAACGGTCTGTGCACAGTAGAATCCCACTGAATTCGAAACCATTCGAAAGTTTCCAGCAAATAAAACATCCGTACACGCTGATACACACGTATGTGTATGACTAAACAATCTGAAACTCGACTGTATTAGTTGAATTCAAACTTTTTCGAGCGTAACTTGAAAAGTTTCAATTTGTGCATGACAATCTCTGTCCGTCTGGCTGACAGAAGGTCTGTCTGTCTGTCTGTCTATCAGTCTTTCGGTCTCTAGCCATCTGTCTATCTGTCGACGCTTGTACGTGTGGGATTCCATTTGCTTTGCTTGTCACACTCAGGGAAATGTTGACTTAGGAACACCTTTTTTTTACCCCAACTAGTTTCCTTTTGTTGAATTTTCTAGGTGTTTCAGGGTTCAAGGTTCTAAAATAGAAACTTCTTATAAATTTAAATAAATCACATTTGATATATTTCAGCTATAAATTTCCCTCTGTGCATTGGTAGTTTCAAGGCTGGGTAAAAAACTTTCTGAAACGCACAGAACGATCTGAGTTTTCAAGCAATCCGCTGGTGAACTCGGGGGCTTTTGCTAAATTTGATTTGAAAGCCCGGCCAGCCGAATTTCAATTAGATGCAGGTGCACTCCCAGGTGCAAATCCTCAAGCCAAGTCGAGTCAAGTCGAGGAAAATCGATAGCCAGTGCCGGTTGGTTTTCGCTATTCACGAATGCGAAAAAAGGCCAAAGGCTGGCTGGCTGGCTGGCTGGCTTGGCTTGGATAAAGGCGAAGGAGGCCCGAATCAAGTGGCAAATGCCAAATGGCATCCTGACCTGCAGCAAAAACTACAGTAGCAGTAGAGCAGGAGCAATCTCCAGCAGTCTCTCCTGGCTCTGTGATACGGTATAACGAGGGGAAATTGTGTTTCAGAAATGCAATGAAAAATTACTGTGGAGCAGCGAAACGTTCATGTCAGTTGGCAGGGAAGTGCACCCAGTGGAGAGCACAAGGATATGCTGTACGTGCACCATTCCTTGAAATGTTTCAAATTAGCCCAATCAATGTGTTAACTCTTGTATCAGCTTGGAATATGAAATGGCAGAGAAATTGGGTTAAGGGAAACGAGGAGCTACAAAATTGAAGCAATGAAAATATAAGCGAGATAAGGTCATGGAATAATGCTAGTTTTTGTTATTAGTTTTTGCCTCAAAGACCTTATCCTTAGTACACTTACTACTTCAGAAATTGCTAAATCGCTTAATTTGATTGTTATCTCCAGACTATACACTTTAAACTAATAAAACAAATGGCTTAGAATTCCAAATAGGTGACTCTGTGAGTGTCTACCCACTGTTCTTTGTGCGATTTGTATCGTTAAGGAAAGAAGCCTCCAGCAGACTCAGACCGCGCCGCCGGCGGAAAATGTACATATTTAAAGTGTCAGACAACTAACTTTTTCAACTTTATTAAAAAGCCAGAGGGAGCCGCAGCAGGAGCAGCTGCAGGAGTAGCAGGAGCAGACACCAGCCGGCAGTCACCATCGGCGGTGTTGACCCCAACAGCCAGTCGCTTAACTAGACGGCATTTCCAGTTTACGTAACCACTAAAAATGGCGCTCAATGTGTTTTCCGTTTGCTGTGTGTTTCCGTGTTCCGAGTGTTTAAGAGTGTGTGTGTTGGCCTGAACTGTGTGCCAGTGTTGGCCTTTTTCTGTCTAAATACCCTCTCGTTAAGACCAGAAAGTTGTAAAGAAGGTATAACCGAATTTTTAAAGTTTTTTTAGGGATTGCCAAGGTGATAAATAAGGTTCAAGTATGACTTTTTAATATTTTCTGATGAAAAACTTGGTTTATTGAAAGAGTAAGTGACTTTAAATATAATAAAATAAATATTTCTAGAACCTTAAAGCTATTATAATACTTGGTATATTTCTCGCTATAATTTACCAGGGTATCCAAAGCTTCGTCTCTAATTTGGCCTAGACCTGTCTATGTTTTTTGTATTATTTTTCACGTGCAGCAGGAATGCGAAGTTGTTCATTGTTTGCTTACTTGCTCAACACGCGCCTTCCATCCGCCTCGGCTGATGAGGATGATGTGGGCAGGAGGAGTGGCTGGATGAGGCCGCCAGTCGCGACGCCTTCATTGTCCTTCCTGATTTGCCTGCTGCCTCCCGAAAAATAATGAAACTTTACCGCTTAGTTGTTGTTTTTGCCTTTTTATCGCAGTTTATTGTTAATGTTGTTTTACTTGTTGTTGTTGTTGTTGTTCCTGCCACGGCCTCACTGATAACAGCTCAAAGTTTTAACACGCGCTGTTCGTAATTTTTTAATGCCTTGCGATTTTGTGATATTTGGCTTGCTTCTATTTTATTTATTTTTCTTTATTTTTTTTTTTTTGTTGGGCTGGTGCCAACAATTTAATCTGTCATTAGCCCAACCGTAGCTCTATTTATATTGCTGTCCGCATAGGAAAATATAAAAAAAGGCCAGCAAAATCGATTTGTTAAAATGGAATTTCTTTTTGATTTCCCCCCAACTCCGGTAAGAAGTTACTGCCCGCAATTTGCCGCACGTTTCCTTGGGTTTTTTCTTTTATTTTGGTATTTTTGTTGTTTTTTTTTTAATGTAAACACGTACAAGACGACTTACGACTTACGGCGGTCATAAATGGAGTTTCGTATCGGTTTTTGTAGTGCCGCAAAATCGAAACACGCACACGCGAACTCCACTGCCCAGCCGGCTATATATTCTTTTTTTTTTTATTTTTTTCCTATATTTTAACCACTCGAGACAACTGTCACTGGCACTTGGGGGGCAACGTGTGTGTGTGACAAGTGGCCACAGGTTTCAATTGGCTTTCGTTGTGGTTTTTGTTTATTTCTGCTGGCTGGCTGCCTGGCAGGATATTTATATTTTCGGAGGAGCAACGAAGAGCGCCCGCTCTGGTAACTGGCCACAGACTGAATTTGGCCAAAACGGCAGAGTCCTTTGGCGGCAAATCAACACAGGATGCGGCGAATTCGCAGGAGAGAGCTTCTGCGCAGTGAATTTGTGGCGGGATAAGTCATATTTGAATCCTAGACAGGGTTGCAAGGAAAGGTAGTAAAGGGAAACCACAAAAAAATAAAAAAACTTATTCTAAATGTGGTTTATTTTAAAGTAGTTATAAAAAATGTATAGCCTATTTATTAGAGCTTCTTTTAAGTTAGTTAATTATGCTTTTAAAATCTTTTCAAAAATAAATACCTTCTTAGCAACCCTGCCTGCGAGGGGTGTTTAAACAGCTGATCCAACACCCAACCCTTGGCAGCTCACTCTCCTTATTTTGGGAGCCACCCCACAGACAGTCGAATTTGCCGCTCAAGGCACTCGAGCCAGGACAACTATAAAGTACTCCAACCCCATCCCGCCTTCACCAACCCCCATCGTCCTGCGGGGCGTCAATATTTGCATTTGTAATAAAAATATTTTGATGCCACCCAGGCAAAACGCGTGCGTAAATCTAAAAAAGATTTGTTATTTCAGCGCGTGTTCATGTCGTGCAAATCAGACAGCAACAACACGGGGCCAGGAACAACAAAGGGGCGGGCCAGGACAACATGAACAGCACAGCAGCGGCAAAGGAGGAGCATCAACATCAATACAACGAGCAACATGCCGGCTTCGAGTGCCGAGTCTGTGCACATGTCAAAGTTATTAAAATTTCATAAAAAATATATATAAAGTAGAGAGCGAGGGAATTTGATTTCACGATTGTTGTGTCACCGACAGTTGTGTGTGCTGGCCCATTTAAGTGACGCCCTGAGTGACGGACTGCCTGATAAGGTGCTAGCTGGCAGGTCTGTGTCTCTTTTAAGTATTGAAATCCTGATGAGCAATAAGGCACCCATTTACCCATCATTGGCCTCTGATGCTCCAAGAAGCGCGTGTCTATCACTTGTCACGGCCAAATTGGCGGGGCCTTATGAGCGATGATTGCCATAGCCCCCGATGCCATCGTGCATCACTCACTTGGGGCTCGAGGCCTGAGGCTGGGGGGAATCCCGGAGCAGAGGTTGCAATCTAGGCGCCTAGGGCCTGACTTTGATGAATGAAGTTTGATTTTGACTCGCATTTATTATTAATTTATTATGCCTTTTTTAGTGCGGTAAGATGTCTAATTTGGAAAATAAATTTAAGCTTTTAAATTCTAAAAATAAAACTTAAGAGCTTTGTTGTGTTTTTTTTTAATTATATTCAATGGTAAAGTCAGAAAAGTTGGGGAAAATTTGTAAATTAATATTTCTTAAAGGTAAGGTAGAACAACTTAATAAAAACTTTCAAGAACTGCATCATTATTTTGGATGTAACAGTTTTGTATATTTGTACTGACAGCTATAGTGTAAATACTATATTAAAACTACTCAATGTCCACAAAGTAAACCTTCCAAAAAAGGCTTAAAAAAAGGTAAACAAATTTATTTAATTTGACTCGGCAACGAAGCAGAGTTAATTCACCTGCCGCCAGGCTGTCAATGTTATTATTTCAGGGAAAATATTTGAATTTTGTATTTGTCACTGGTGCACAATTTAATCATCGTTTTCAATATAACATCCGAACGAACACACATTCCCCCACACAGTGTACAAGCCATTTTTTTCTTTATGAGTTCTTAAATGCTGAAAAAGTTGCTGCTAAAATACTGTGAGGTGTGTGTGGAGTTGTAACTTGTGCCGGGCAACTTTGCGTTGTGGTGTCTGTCACCGGGTTCTTTTTTGCTAAAATAAATTTAATAAATAATGAAAGGACGCAAAAAACTTTTGCCTACAGGTGCAGTTGAGCTATTTAAAGCGTTTTAACACAGAGAGCCGGGTCTTATGATAAATTACTTTTTCAAGAGGGAAGGAGAAGAAGGCGCTGAGTTCTTTGGAAGGATACGGTTATCATTGCCATGACGCCGGTTAAATTACACACGCATTTGCCAAATAAAAATCACTCATTCGACGCGTTGCCACGGGGCTTTCGAACAAATTTGTAATTTGTCAGCCAAAGTCGCAACGGGGGGACTTGACAGTTATTTAGAAGTTTACAACTGTCGCCGGCAGCAGTAATCAGCTTTACTTTTGTCCCGATAATGCGGCTGTTAATGTACTTCGACCGCAAAATGGGAAGGGTAATTGCAGAGAGTCCTGCGACTTTATTTACTTTTCAGCTTGAGTTCAGTTTTGTTGTCCGTAACTTTTGCCAGATAAAAATGAAACCAGTTCGTTTGACTATATTTGTAGTTTTTAAATTTATTTTGTTTTGCTTTCGGCTTTGTTTTCCAACTTGAAGTTCGTTATGTTTGCTTTATAATACATCTGATTTCGCTTAGTTAGTAGCTTAGTTTGCTTACCATTTACTTGTTTTTAGAGTAGCCTGTCAGTTTAGCTTAATGTTAGAGTTCTATTTTTGGAAACACAGAACAAAAAACACAACAAAATAGGATAAGTAACTCACATACACGCACACGAGAACACACAGACATGCCCATATACAAATGTACATAATATTAGTTTATAGGTAGCGGCATATGTTTATAAAAATATAACAAGTTCTTCTTTGGAGATTTGCGTTGCCTCTCGGTTCCTCTGCTATTTTATTTCATCTTTTTAAGGAAGGTCATATAATAAATACTTACTATGTAGATAACATTTATTTAAACATCTATTTATACACCCTTTATATAGTACATAATGAGCTTTGGCTCCTCTAAGCTGTGTGTTTTGCCCACGCCTCGCAATAGTTTTATATAAATATTTTTTTTTCAGACTAGCTTGAAAGTTTCTTGATGTTGTTTTTTTATAAATTTGTTTCGCCTTTCGTTCGGCTTGACTTGACAAATGTTCTTGACTTTATGTGCTTGGCTTGCGGGCTAAGAGAAAATCATAAATTGGTAAGTTTTGCGAGCTGCGGCTACAAGTCCTTGGAGTCGTTAGTTATATTATACAGAGTACACATAGCCATAGCTCTTTTTCGTAGTCGAAATTCGTTTGAGTTCCGGGGCTTGATGCGGATTATTGCGGCCGCAATTGCTGGAATCAAGTTGCTGACTTCGGAAGCAGTACTCAAGCCTTGCCCTCACAGGCTACACAGTCAACTTAATTCCAGGAACTGCAACGCAATTGCCTCTATATTCGTCACGCACACACACACCCGCGCTGGAATTCGGCACTAAACACTTTCGAAACGGCAAACGTCAAACGTCAAACGGAAACGGAAACGCACTACACATACACGTAATTCGGTTAGTCTGATATCGATGCACTTGAACTATATGCTGGTTAATTTAACTTGGGCTCACTAGACCTTACTTTTGATTTCGACTGCCACTTGCTATATATTGATTTAACTATATATATTTTTCGCTATGTTTATTCGTACGTTTTAGGGTTTACTTTATTGGGGTTTTTGAGCATTTTTTCAATTCATGCGATTGTCCTTAACAAATGGTTTAAGCTTTGCTTTAGCTTCCTTGACTTTGGTTATGAGTTTCTCCGAATTTGTTCTAAATTTCATTCTGAATTTAATTGCAGTTTTATTTGTATGATTTCTCTATTTTATTTGCGGGCATTTTAATGTAGTTTTCTATAATTTGCGGTCTCTTAATTGGCACAGTTTTAGCGTTTTAGCTCTTTTCTATTTCTCTATCGGTTTAGCTCAGTGAGTTGCAGTGATTGCCTTTGTAATTAATTAATTTTGTTTTCCTTTGTTTTCTTTTTGGGTTTTTTATAGTTTTTTTTTTTTTTTTAATGGTAGTTTTATGTGAGCGAAATGCTTTACAGTTTTCTGATTGGCGTACATAAATGAGTTTACAACCTGCGCTTAATTTAGTCGTACAAAAATACTCAGTATTTACAACAAGTTTAAAAACGACACAAAATCATAAATAAATAAGTTATCCTATACGTTAGGGTAGACCCGGCAGCGGAAATTGAAAATAAAATAAGCGAAGAGGAAAAGAAAATAAATGAGGGAGTGCACAGTGGCGGCCAAACGAATTGGCACGCTCCAACGCTTGATTGATTAATGTCAACATTACGAGTAAATCAGCCGACGCATGAGCCGGCATATTAATTTTACAAATTAATGGAACATTTTAATTGCATTAAATTGATTCCTCCGGCTGCAATCGATTGATTCCACCCCCCAACACACTTTCCAAGGACTCTTTACACATGGCTCGAGGCCGTCGAGGCGGCAGCATTGTTGTTCTTATTCCATTTGTTGATGTACTCCATGGGTATTTCGATTTGAATCTCCTGCACATCATCGCCTGCCAAGGATTTGGCCCGTTCCTTGTCCTGTTGTCCTGGTGCTGCCAGGGGTCCACCCAGGCGGGATCCGCCCGCCGCCAGCCGCTGTTGCTGCTGGGCAATGGGTGTCAGCAGCGCCTCGTCCCTGTATTATAAGTTGTCCACCATCTGCGACTGGCGGCGATGCGAGGGCGTCGTCGAGTTGAGGTAGCTCTCCGAGTAGACACTCTTTGCCCGCTGGTCATAGCGCAGGCTGGAGCGCCGGATGTCAATGTCCAGCGGCAGGTGGCGGTCCTTCCACCAGTTGCAGAACAGGCAGAGCAGGGTGTTGCGGAAAGCCTCCCGGAAGTCGCGGTTGAAGTAGGCATAGATGAGCGGGTTCAGGGTGGAGTTGAAGTAGCCGATCCAGAACAAGATCGAGACGACAATATCCGGCACCTGGCAGGGCCCGCAGGTCATGGAGAGCGTGTACCTGCAAAGGAGGGTTTATATATATATTCTTATTCCATGCATAAAGACAAAGGAGATATATGTACACATAAATTCCCGATGCATGACTGAGCGCGCGGGCTTTGCATAAATGAGATTATGCTTTTCGGTGGTGTTAAAACAATGGCCCACGGGCCGTATGAGTAATATTTAATTATGCATGCGTGACATTAGATAAATTATGCCCCAAATCCCATGTCAACGGGGGCATGCTACTCACCACAGGAAAAATGGCAGCCAGCAGAGAATGAAGGTGCCCATGATGATGCCCAGCGTGCGTGCGGCCTTGTGCTCCCGCTTCATTTTGATTAAGTGCTTGTCCTTGGTGGGAGTGTGCTCCTGCTCGACCTCGTGCATCGTCAACGTCTTCGACGACCCAGAGCCACTCAAAGCCTCGCCTGGCAAGGAGGAGAAGAAAAGAGAGGAGGGCAAATTTAGCTTTTGATAAATGTCTCAACTGCAAGCCCCCAACTAACTTAACAAGAGGTGTCAAGAAATAACTCATTCTATGAACAATTTCTTAGCCTACCTAAAGAGAAACTCTCTGGGACTTTAATAAAAATCATTTCGACTCACCCGATGGCTGCATGGAGGGTCGATGCATCAGCATTGCATTGCCATGACGCATCATCAGCTGCTTCTCCTGGCGATTGGCCTCCCGGAAGATGGCGAAATACGTGAAAATCATGATAGTACATGGGATCCAAAACGAAATGGAGCTCGAGATGATGGCATAGTACTTGTTAACCACAAAGGAGCACTGTGTGGGATTCTGCTGGACATAGATCCTGTGCTCCTCGGTGGTATACCAACCAATGAAAATGGGCAGGAACGAGAGCAGCGCCGGCGAAATCCAGGTGTTCAGCAACATAATGCCGACCACGCGTTTCGTCATGCTAATCGGATACTTGAGCGGCTTAACAATCGCATAGTATCTGCGAAATCGCAAAAAATATAGGGGGAAAAGGCGGAAAATCGTCACGTTATTGGTGCTCCATATGGCGGCTTAGGGCTGAAGCTTACCTATCCACAGATATGCAGCATAAATGCAAAATACTCGCTGTTGAGAAGTAGACATCGAGGCTGTTCCACAAATCGCACAGAAAGGGGCTGAAGTTCCAGCTGAAAGAGTTTGGAGAATAGGGAGAAGGCATCAATATCGTCATGATTATCCAATAAAGTTTAGCGTTTAACTTTTGGAGTCATTGTGTATCTGATTATCGAAAGTATGAATTTGCAGTTTCTTATTTTTCGATGATTCATTTCTGGTTATTCCCTTTCCCGCTTTTATTTTTAAATTCTTGAGTAAATATTGCATATATTTTTATGAAGTCATGGCCATAAAACAGACTTCCGTTTTTGCTGGAAAACCTTTTAATTTATGCCCTGAAGCGTATTGTTAAGTACATATAGGAAAAAAGTATAGGTAAATACAATACAATTCAGTGAGTGTTTTTTGTTTGTTTTAATATTGCTTAAACAAATTAATAAAGACTTATTGTTTAATGACAAATACAAAATTTTTTTAAAAGATCTCATACTTTTTGCTGTTTATTTAAAATTTTTTACACTCTTTACTCGATGAATAAAATCTGTTATAAAAAAGTTTTTTAATCTGGAAAATGAATTAAATTTCAACTTTCAGTTTGTCCTTTACTTATTTTTCCCTATTTCTGTTCTTTTAATTCATATTTTAGATATATGGTAAAACTGGTAGCTCTTGCCTTTGTTAACAAAATCCAACAGTTTTTCTCTTATTCAAACGACATTTTTTAGCCACCTCTAGGATGTAGTCCATGCAAATCCTGGAATCTGGACCACAGGCTAGACCTGCCCCCCACTTGGTTATCAGCTTGTCTGATTTATGTGTTTATCGATTTCATCTTAGTTTCGGTTGCCAGGTGACATTGCCCCTGAACTGAACAGCGCTGAGAACCCAGACCAACCCAAATTAAAAGCTTAAATGCACTGCGAGACCAGAAAATAGGCCATAAGGCCGCGCGCACACTACGAGCTGAAAGCGGAGCTGACGGCTGAGAGCTTATCCGCGGAAAGCTTATCAGCGATCGGAGCTTTTGCAGCCGCGCACACTGCGAGCTGAAGCTGATGTTGATTTGTAATTGTTTTTCAAGCAATACGTTTAAAAAAAAACATATTTTAATTCTTTAATATTTTTAAAATATCGTTGTTAATGCGATGACATATTTATTTAGATCATCATGACATTTAAATTTTCGAAATCGGACCACCCAGTTCTCCAGAATATGGTTGACAAAGTACGTTTTTTTAGTGTACTTTGGCACCCTGTATCTCGGAAAGTTGACAATATTTTTATTTTAATAAATATTAAAAAAATTCTTCATACTTTTCTATATAACTGGACAGAAATTTAAATTTCTGTTACTTAAGCGCTAATTAGGGCAATTTTTTAAAGAATAGTCTAAAAAATCAGCTCGCGTCAGCTGCTAACAAAATCAAACATGTTTGGTTGATCAAACAGAGCGGAGCGGAGCTGACCTTATCAGCTTTCAGCTCCGCTCTCAGTGTGCGCGCTCTCATACAAGTAGTGGGTTTGTTTCAGAGAGCTGAAAAGCCGTCAGCCGTCAGCTCCGCTTTCAGCTCGTAGTGTGCGCGCGGCCTAAGGCTCGGGCGATGGCAAGGACGCAGGAGGAAAGGAGGACAAACGGGGGGCTACATGAAAAACTCATTAAAACTTGCGTCGCTGTTGCTGTCGCCGTCGCCCTTGGTTGCCACTCCGTTTTGGCGGCTCTTCGGCTGGGTGTATCGGTGGCTGGTAACTGGTGGCTCCGTCTCCGTCTGCGTATTCGACTCCCCAAAAAGCCTGGGAGGCGGCTGAATTTATTATCGGCCGCCCTGTTTGGCATCAGTTTCAAAAACTTTTCGACTATCCAGCGCTGGTCGAGCTGTACGTTTGTGTTTTTCGGGTCTCAGTTTATTCTTAATTGAGCTTAAAGAGGTTATGACACTGGGATTTTAATAAAATGGGATTTTGGTGTAGCAAAATAAGAGTTATTCTGGATCTAAAGCATTTAACTAAGTAAAAGCAAGTTGAAATATTTTTTACATAACAATTAAATAGAAAATTTACTATATACAGTGTCATAACCCCTGAAACTTATGCAACTAGCAACTGTGAAGGTGAAATCACTAATGGATGCCAAGTGGGGCTGGAATAGCAGCTCAACTGCAGGCCATTGCCAATTTATATGTAAAGTCCCCACCCGGTGACTGAAGTTTTTTGGCCTGGCAGCAAGTGCACATAATATGACTTGAATGGCTGTGCCCCCATCTCGATCTTCATCATCACCACCATCATCACCGTCACCGTTATCTTCATCATCCCCATTGTCAGCTTCAGTGACATTGCCAACATTTACATTGCTCCCTCGGCGAAAAAAAAAAGTCGGGCTTTAAGCGCGGCCTTTAAAATCAGCCTCCTCCATGCATAATTAACTGAGCTCAGCCGCCTGCACTTGGCATCGCATCCACATGCCATACTATACCGTACTATATATGGTATATATCGCATTACCCACATAGACAGACGGAGTGGGACGGTCGGACGGTAGGACGTTCGGCGTGAAGGATGTGACCATGTCACACTCTGACGGTTTTTGTCCTTTAGAATAGCATTTCAAAGTTGTCGTTTCGCTCTCAGTAAGTGCTCATTAAATGTATGTGTGAAATGGGTTACATTGGGCTTTAAATAGGGCTAAAAGAGGTTTTGTTTGAATATTTTTAAAGGTATATAAGGTTGTGACTAACGGTTTATAGTGAAAACTTTAAGAAAACTACCTAAATATATATTTTTTAAATATTTAAAATAAAATTTAATATAAATTATAAAATTAAGAAGAATGTAAAACTAAATATTTGTGTAAAAATAATTTATTAAGTGCATTTGGCATACTTTCTAATATTTTAAGGTCGTAAATAAATTACTTTCTGTATTTACTTTAAAAATAATAATAAAATTAATAGTAATGGGCATTTTAAAGTCGTTATCCTCCAACCGATTCCATTTCTGTTTGTTCTATTTTTCACATTTTAATTCTTGAACACAAATGCACGCACATGAGCACTGTGGGGAAAGCCAGGGAAAGGGGAAACGGAGAGATGAGATGACTTTCTGCATTTGCATTTCGCTCACACAAATACATGTGAAAGTACACACACACACACACACACTCACAGACAGAGGGACATGCACGGGAGCATAAATAAACGTTGCTTTCATTTTTTCAGGGATTTTTGTTTTTGGTTGTTTGTTCTGCTTCTGCCACGCCCACGAACCAGCTAGCCCCACGTCCTCACACCCCCCTTTTTAGATGGCTAAAACTGGCATTTTGTTTGGTCCTCCTTTTGGTTTTCCAGCTGTAATTCTTGCAACATTCTACAGTTTCGCCTGCTTTTGTTGTCCTGCTTAGGCCGTGTGTATTTGTGTATGTATGTGTGTGCTTTGTTGTTTGTTGTTGTACTTACCGCCCAGTTACTTGCACACTAAAGTTAAATGTCATGGCCATAATAGCGACCATTATATCAGCCATGGCTAAGGAAACTACAAAGTAATTCGTTATAACTCTGCAAAGAGAACGAGAAAACGAGAGATGTTAGCAATCAGAGAACAATATCAGGGGGGGTTAACGTATATATAGAGTAGAGAGGCGCTTTGTACCCCCCGGGTGGGCTAATCAGGATATATAGGGTATGGGTGAATGCGTGAAGAGCCTGTGAATGCAAGGATAAGCACTGCAGGAAAAATGTAGTTGTAAATTAGAAAAGAACATAGAATATTTGAGATGAATTTACAATCAATTAGTTTTAATGAAAATATTTCTTATCAATGTTCTTTTTAAATACTTTCAAAAATAAAATGGAAACTTTTTAATGTAATATGGAAGCTTCCTTTAAAAAACCATTATTCTCTTATTTTTTACTTAAATCTCAGGCTTTCTTGAATTATTTTTCTCCCTGCATTCATATGCTCGCATGTGGCGACTCTTTTGTGCGAGTTGACAGTTGAGTTTGGACCCCTCGAGTGGGTAACGTGAGCTTTGTGATGCATTCTGCTGCCCAGTGGGGGTTTAATTGAAAAGCCAGTCAAGAATCGACAACGATTTTCTCCATGGGAATAGTCCATAACCATCCGAAAACCTATATATACAAGCATATATACGAGAACGAGAGAGGAAAGTCGAGAAAAACCGCAATTCTCTAGGTAAGTCCTTTCCAGTTTATCCCTATTTTGTTATTTAAATTGAATTTCAAGCCGAATACTGGCAAATGCTTTTGCCAATTAGAGTTTGCAGCTAGTGGCCGGCAAAGGACTCTCTAATCGGATGCTGGCAGCTACCTCATTGACCTTTAAGGGGATGTTTTCATTTTCTATTTCGCACTAAACCAAATGAGAAAAGTTTTAAAGCAAAAGTGAGCAACAGAAAAGGAAAGTTAAAGTAAATTAAATAAAATGTTTAAATAATTTGTGGGTAAATAAAATTCAGAATACATTTTTAATAGTTTCATGTTTTTCCTTAAGTAAAACATGTTCTTCTCCATTAACCTTGAATTTTACTTTAATTTCCTTTTTCGAGGCTTTTGTTCTTAGTTTACAAGCTCTCAAGTCTGCCCGAAAGTAATCTGTTTTGCCTTAGGCTACTGCTTAAACAACTTTCAACATCTAAGACGTTAATTGCAACAAATCGACGCCATTACTCAGGCTGCTCCGCTCCCTGCTTTTTCCCACGGACTTAAACTGCAAATAATTTGCCTGCCATTTAAATTTAAGAAAAATAGCAAAAAGGAGGAGACGTCTTTAGTGCATGGTAACGGCGGAAGCAGTTTCCGAGCATCCTTCAAATGAAAGCGCTGCGTTAATGAGCCTCCGCCTCAGCCTCAGCCTCAGCCAGTGCCCCCTCTTGAAGCCCACTCGATGTAATGGCACACATATATATATAGATAGATGTACACAGAAAAATAAATTAAATAAAAAAAGAATTGATAAATAATTTACAAATTAAATTAAGCAGGCATCTAGTCCCTAAATAACATTTTATTAATTCTACATTATCTGTTTTTAGTATTTCCATTTAATTGTTCAATATATTTGTAAAGTTTAATGCTCTTTTTCTTCTTGAGAATGATCGACTTTATATTTCTTATCATAAAGAAAACAAAATATAATTTCAATGCATCTTCTTTTATATAAACAACCATGTTTTATATACTAAAACATATAAATGCCAAAATGAAAACGCCTTAAATCAAGATTACTCAGAGGTTTTTCTTGTAGTGTAGATATATTCCGCCTTGTACACTTTATCTAGCGCTATCCTCGCAGTGGCTCATCTCTGCCAAATAATTTGGGCGTCGGGAAAAAACGCAGAATTTTATTGTTTGGCATAGAACATTTTAAATTTATGCTGTCATAAAAACCATAAGCTGCCTTAATTGCCAAAGTTGTTGCTGTGTGTGTGTTGTTCTTGTACTTGTTCCCATTCTCTCCCCCCACCCGCATCCGTGGCTGCTTAGATACTTTGCCCCATTCCCTATCGTGTGGGGCATGCATTTTGTTTTTGTTCCATTTCTCTTTGAGCTACACAAGCTCGCAGTGTTTAATTGTCATTTTTTTGTTGGTGTGCATTTTTTCTTTTGTTTTTTTGTGTTTGTAAACTTTTTTGCACATTTTTATTTCCATTGCTTTGTTTCACGCTACGTATGCGTAATATTTGCCGTTCAGAACAATGGAATTTTGTGCAACTCGAGCGAAAATGGCTGCTGTTTTTGACCGTTTATAGAGGAAGTTTTAACCGTGGATGTGCTTTTCCGAAATTAATTATATTTCTGCCTTGGGGGGCTAAATCTTTACTTTTTTCCTGGGTTTATTATCAGTGCAACAAGAGCATTACCTTGATCATCATGGGCACCTGAATCCACCGACACGCAAGTCACTTAAAAAATAAAGCCCTTCTCATTAGCAACCAGGCCAGGCTGGGTCAAAGGAGAAATTAAGCAAAGTTCAACCTTAATTATGCCCTGCCTCCCCCATCCTTTTTTTCATTATAATTTTTCAGCTGCCTCCTTTTTTTTCGCCGGTGCTGTGCCATCTAGCAAAGTTTGTTTGTTTCGCCTTTTGGCTTCATTGCCCCTCACAAACTTTGGCTAAGAGCATTTAAAGTTTTTCCTCTCCTCTACTGTGTAAAAATTCTGCGTAGAAAGCTTAGCAGCGCAAAAAAAAAAGAAAATAACTGAGCGTTTGTCAGCTCGGAAAAAGGGAACTTTTGATTGCCGTCGTGAGGGAGTGGCAGGGCGGCTTTATGAAGCGCTAAATTGATTTGGTTGCCGGTCGCTTATTAAGGCATAACTAAAAATATTAACGAGCCGGGAGACCCAGCTGACGTCTCATCATTTATCACTAGAAAACTTTTCTTCTTCTTTTTTTATGATAATGTGTTTTCCGGCGAAGGACACCGCCCCCAAAAGCCCACCCGCATATCATTAACGAGGTCGCCCGCCCAAGTTTTGCGTGTCCTCGTGTGTATTTTATATGGAAATGGCTAAGCAATTTTCAAATGCCAAGGTTTATTTGCTTATTATCATTATTATTGTTGAGGAAGCGTCATCAAATTTGAAAATTGGTTCAATAAATTCCGGAACCAGCAACATTTTGATTAGCTAAACAAATATTTGTGGCTAACGAAAGGCTTTCGTTTAAATTCTGCAGTAAATTTAAGACAAATGCAATCATTAACAGAGCCTGCAATTAAGAAGCTCTTTGTATGCAAATTGGTTTCATGCATAAAGTCATGAACGTTAATTTGTCATTAAAATAATGCATTTCGGGTCTTTTGTTGGGAAATACTGCAGCCTCGCAGCGAGAACCCAGAGATGATGCTCAATTATGAGCTGAGTAAATAAGGGACAAGGACAAGTCCACATAAAATACTCGGGACGCAATGACAGAGCAAAGCGAGCATAAAAAAGAAGAGGTCCTGACTGCACGATTCCGGGACAGCAGCAGAAGAGGAAAAGGACCCGCGTGCGGACGTGCATGAATTTTATGCAAAGTTGACGAAAATCGCGCTCGCATAGAAAACGAAGCGCTCTGTAATTTTTTTTTTTTTTGCTCCTCCCTAAGCCCGGCCAGAAGAGGTAACTCTGCAAATTGGCAATCAAGACAGCCGGAGGAGACAATGCCGCTGGCGGCAAACAGTTTTATGCAAATTACGAAAAAATTACACGGAGCGCGAACAGCTCTAATTGCTTTTTCACAGATAATTAGAACCAGCGAGAGGACCAGCGCGATGTGCTGAGAAGGCAAAATAAATGGCAGGGTTGTTGAAACATGAGAAAATATATAACTAATTTCATTTAAAATGCAATACGTCGTATTTATTTGGACTAATTGTTGTGGGAAGAATTTTGTTAAAGTTGCTACTTTGTTGGTAAATAAAATAAAGAAATATAAATAATACAATCTAAAAATCCTTTAAAAAAAGCTTTATAAAACCTCTAAGTTTTAAGTTAAAAACTGTTTTTCAAGGGCTTTTCTCGTATACCTTATTTTAGCTCTTAAATATTACGTATACGCAGCTTAAAATTCCAACACACATACAAAATAATAATAAGAAAACCTTATAATTCTTTAAAAGAAAATATATATAAAGCAATATATTTATAAACTAAAAACTTCATTAATAATTTAACGATTTTCTGTTATTCCCCCTTTGACGTTCTTAAATATTACGTATACGCACCTTAATTTTCTAACACGCATCACAGAAATAATAACAAGCAGATTGCCGCAAATGGCCGCTATGATGATGAACAGCATGACGAAGCCCTTGAAGAACAAGACGACCTGGTCGAACCAATCCTCCTCAGCCAGAGCGGGATCCAGGAAGCCACTGTCATTGGCCAGCAGACTGGCCACCGTGCTGCTCAGCAGCGTGGCGTTCAGCTCATAGTGCGAAGCGGGCGTGGCAGTGCCCTGTAATGGCAGTGCAACGGGAGGGGAGGAAGAACCTTCTCCTCTTCCAGAGGCGGAGGAGACGGTGGCCAGTGCTTGGGTCGAGTGCAGCATGGCTGCCGTTGTAAGGGCAGCTGCTGTGATCCGCGCAAGGCTTAGACTTTGGCTTGGGCTTTGGCTATAACTATGGCTGTGTGTGGTTGTGGCTGCCAGATTTGAAAGATCCAGCTGCTGCTGCTCCTCCGGATGATCCTTGGCCTCCACCTGATCAAGGTGGCTGCATTTCTGTCTTTTGCGTATCCTAGCGCGATATCTTTGCCGCGGCAGCTGGCTGCCAAGTTCTGGGCACAACAACATGAGTCCGGTTTTTAGTTTTTATTTAATTTGATTTATGTTAATTATTATATCTGTTTTGTTTGGTAACTCGTTGACTTTTCTTTGACACTTTCTTTTTGGTTTGCTCTCGCTCTCTTTTTCTTTCGATTTTCTTTGGGCTTTTCTTGATAACGTTTTTTGCACTTCTAACCCACAGCGACCGCCATTTGAAATTCACGACACGCGTAGCGCCGGCGACGTTGAAACCAAAACTGAAACGGCCACCGCAACGGAAATTGATTCGCGAAAGTGGCCAGCACCCAGCACCGTGTGGCCACGACAACGTCGCCGCTGACGTCCGCGAGGCGGGAGGAGCAGGTGGCCTGGCGCAGAGAGACGAAGGCGGCTGCTCCGGCGTCCAACGATCCACTGTCCTTGCCAGCAACGCCCACACACACACTCTCTCTCTCTTGATGGCCTCGCTGTCGCTTTTCCGCTGCTGCTGCTGTCGCTGCTTTTCCGCTGCTGCTGCTGCTGCTGCTGCTGGTGACTTTTCCTATGCCGCCTGGCTGGACGACAATTTCTGGCTATTTACTGTGCGGCTTCTGTTATTTTTCCCTATTTTTTCCCTCGCTGATTGAGTTTTTTTTTTTTTTTTCTGCTCTCTAGCGCCCACAAAGCGGCTGCTTTTTAATTTTGTTCATATTTTCCCTGCGATGGCCGCCTTGTGTAGCCACCGAAAATTCGTTGATTTCTTTTGGTTTTATTTTTAACATTTCTTTGGCTTCAAAAATATATTTTTAGTTTCTCTCTTGGCCAAGTGGTCGGTTTTTTACGCTCTGCCTCCACTAATTCAAATATTGTTATTCGATGTTATGCCTTCTGGAGCTGTGCCATAAAAAAAAAAAAAAAAAAAAATATTAAGAAAAAAATACAAGAATATATTAATCAGAAGAATGAAAAAAACATGAGTTCGATTTGCTTATTGTTGCCCCGATTATAATCACTTTTTTGTATTATCTAGTTGCCGCCGTTGGCATTTGTATTGATTTTAGTCAATATTTATTTATTTACTGACGCAGAAGTTGAGTTGTTGATGTTGAGCGTGTTTTGTGGACTTTTATGCGAATAAAACAGGGTGTTGTTTTCGATTCTTTGTTTGGTTTAATGTCTGTTTATGCTTTTACAGGGTGTTGTTAAAGGTAAGCTAAGGAAGGAGCCTTCAATTGCAATATTATATATTTTCAGAGAGTTTTACAAGCTATTGTATTTGTTTATTTATTTTATTATTTATTAATTTAATGTGCTAAATTTTAAAAAAATTTATAGAACTGAAATTACTTTTAGTTTAAGAGTCTCTGACTATAATAAGTTCCCTAAGATTTAAGGAAATTTATATTTATTATATTTATCATCTACTCATATTTGTATATTTTATTTCTTCTTGTTAAAATTTTCATAAAATTTTTCCAAAATTCAACGCAACACCCTGTATAAAAGCCATGATTTATATGACAACAGCTGGGCGAAAGAATGTCACTCGCTTCGGATGCCTTTTAGCGTACAGCCGCCGCCATATCTATACATCTAAATCTCTGTGTGTATATTTTTCTATGGCTCTCTGGTCAGTTGGTGTCTTCGGCCACGCCCCGTCCGGCTGCTAAGTGGGGTGGGAAAATGTCCTAGCCATTTTTTGCGCGCCTCTCGGGGGGTGGAGTGGTCGGGGATATAGCCACATTTATTTAGAATACTGAATGTGGCTTTGGCTATATGCGCTCTATACTCTACTATATATTTATTCATTTCGATGTGTATTTATATATTTATATTTTTTTCCGAATTTATTTCCTGATGATGATGTTTTATTTTCATGTTCGCACACGCTTTCAACGCCCGTTCATTTTGGCCTGGCCAAAATGTGTTTGATGTTGTTGCTTCTTGGCCACTCGAATTTTGGTGGCCACGAGCTCGAAATTAGACGTTGGTCACTCGCGCAAGGGTTCTTTTTTTTTAATTTTTCATATTTCCGAGAACTTTCTCGGATTGCAAAACGGAGGATACACTGTTAATTAAATAAATAAAAGTGTCCGCATGCCGAAGTTCCCGCAAATATGAGCCAAGCCATATGGCGAAAGGGTTGACGATTTCTTGCATATGTTTTATTTTATTATTTGATTTTTTTTTTTTTTATGTCTGCCACTGCCACGCCCTGGCGCTTTTCCAAGTTGAACAACTGCAAAGATAAGAGAGAGAGAGAGAGAGAGGGGGAAAGTGAATATACATTATAAGTAAAATATTATTTAAGCATACATAAATATTGGTAGAGGGACAACAAGAAAAGCAAACATTTGAACACATTTTGCCCGCCATATTTATTTTATAAATAAAATACAACAATCTCTTTTTTTTATGAATGCTCAGCTCATCAAAGTGCTGCCGCAGAGGCGTTTCCATCCATGCTGCTATATTGGTATCTTGTTTTTATAATTTTTAAATTTATAATTTTGCCTGGGGGCGGAGGCAGCCAGCACTCGGTTCTGAAGGCGTGTGGGCGTATAATTAATTTTGTGGCAAAACGAATTTCCTTCAGTTTAATGTATAAATAGATTAAAAGTTGATTTAATTAATGAGAGTTCCCAAAGCACCACGAGCCAACGGTGTGGAGGAAGGGTTTTTAATCGGAAATTGGTGTCTTACACATTTGCTACATGATTTTAGATTTAGAGTTATAAATGAATTATAAAATTCAACCTAGTAAAACCTCGACTACTTATAATAGTAATTAAATTCCAATAAATGAAGTAAACTAAATAAAACATCACCATAGTTCTCTCAGTGCCTAAGCACACATATTTTCCCATCGAATTTGTCAGCCAAAACACGGCATTTCGTTGGCCAACGCAGAAGGTTAACGGATGAGTGACAAGCGATGACAGTGTCCCGGCAACGGAAGCCCGAGCCATGGAACGATGGAACCCCTCAGATGCGCCGGACGCAGCTGTCTTGTGTATCTGTATCTGCGTATCTGTATCCGTATCTCTCTGCACTCATATCAACAGTCACAACTACACCAGCATCCTCATCTGGGGATGTGCCTTCATCTGCAGTAAACGAGCAGCAACATTAGCGACAGCCAAATGCCAATGTTAATGTCATGAAAATCATTTTTTAAATTTAATTTCGCTCTGCGTACTGTTCAAATACACACATCGCACATATTGTCGACGCTATATGTTCATGTTCTTGGCATTGGACGGCCTCGACTAGTTTAGTTTCTGGTTTGTGTGTTGCCAAATTACGAGGCCCCCGAGTGGATATCATAAACGTGGTCGGGGGAAAAGTATCAATGGACTCAAGAGAGCCTGCTCCAGATCTGTGCTAATTAAGCTCAGCATAAGTGAATACATATACATATGTTGAGAAGTGCTTGCTGAGCTTGGGAGCCTGCTCTATCTCGCTTAAACTTTTAATTAATTAACTTGCATTTATTTTTATTTAGTAAACAAACACTTGTTCACACACGAAACTCTCTGCTCCGTTTTCATTTTTCTCCTGTGGGTGGAGTGTGTCGTCTTTTATTTGCTCTTGGCAATTTGACAAGCCCCCCACCCAGACACACCTGTTCCACCGGTTCCACCTGCCGCATCAGCAACTCACACACGCACACACCTCAGCTGCACTGAATGGTTTTCTTTTCTGTTTTCAAGTCCCACTCCCTTGAAAGGAACCCTTGTTTAATTTGCCTTTCTTCTTTTATTTGAAATTCCAAGAATTTATGTCTGCCAATTATGAAAATATTTTCATTTAAAATATAAAGTGAATTGCAAAATATTTTTTCACAAGTTTAATTAATGCCAAATTGAAGGAATTTTCATTATTATTGTGTATAAAAATATTGTCAATTAATTTATGGGAGTAAAATTGAATAAAAGTTGTACTTTAAAGCTCTCAATTAACTTTAAACTTTGTGAAAACACTAAACTATAGAAATATTTTTATTAATTCTCCTATAAAAATTCCAAAAAACATTTTCATTTATGGAGAGCCAAAATCTGAATTGATATTTGAAAATAAAAACCATTCTATTTAATTGTCTGCGTCAGTTGGCTGGACATCCATAGAAATTTATATTTCTTGCTGCTATTTTCATTGGCTCAGCGCAAAACAATTTTAATTTCATTAACATTTTTATTTTGCCTTGGTGATTTTCTTATATTTTTCATTCGAATTCAATTGTGTTGACAAGGTGCTTGACTGCCATCATCAAATCCCGTAGAAAAAAAACAACAGAACGCTGGGGAAATCAACATTGAAGTGCCACTGAGGATTGTCTTGCTGGGCATTTTTTAATGCATATAAATTGAGGACCGATTAAAGGCGATTTATTTTGATGGATACATTATTATGAATATTATAATCAACAACCAACCACACACTCACATCAATGCAGTTGTATTCTTAATAGAATCCCAGTCCAATTTAGACACGCAGCCTGCAAATAAATCACAGGAATAAAGCCCCTGTAGTCCCCAGTTCCATGCCCCATTTCTTGTTGTATGCATTGACTATACTTTTACATATTTAATTTTCGCTTTCTACATTGCAAATCTGACTCGGATGAGGCACACGGGAAAAAATGGAATGTGAATTGTTAAGTTTGTATCAATTTTGTGTTGCTTATATATTATAAATAATAAATTGAGCCAGAAAGGGGTGAATGCTCTAATGAAATTTCGGATACTTTAGACCTCTAGCACGTCCACAAATTCACTTATTTAATTTCGGTTCTCTTTGTTTTTCAATTTATTTAATGGGATGACATTCAGAAACTGTTTAATTTCATTTAAACGGACATTCACACTACAAATTTTGCATTTGAAATTTTATTTTCTGTGTACACATACACACACGCCGGGGGGGAAAGCTCTTTTCAATTTCAAGTTCCATAGATAAATATGCCAGGCTGCCAACTGTAAGCGATTTAGAGAGGGGGCTTCTCTTCACACACAATCCCCAGCTCGAAGCTGGAGCAGCGCCCAAGGCGTTGCGATTTTATTGGCCGTAAAGTAGGCAGCCATGAAATAGGAGTAGTAGGGATCTGGATCTGGATGTGGAACTGTGTGGAACTGTGTGCGGATGAGGAGGGTCTTGGTCTGAGCGAAACACGAGCGGCCATTTAAAAGCCATTGTAGCTACATCCACAAAGTCCACACAATGAAAAACGAAACTTGGCTAAATAGACGGCAAAAAATGCGCGCCGATTGATGCCCCATTGTGGCTTAAAGGAGGAGGGTGGGCGAATCTGAAGGATAAGCCACACAAAACAAATGTCAAAGTCAACACCCAAACCCAGGCAAACACAAATAGAATCCTGTCCTTCCTCCTCTTATTTTTTCCCCCCTATTTCTCCCATTTTTCTCCTCCTTCGCACACACTTAAGCTGGTGCTGCTGCAGCAGCTTCGATACAATGAGCATAAAGCCAGCCAGGCAGCACAAAAGGGAAGGGGTTGTATCGGGGGTTTATATAGATCGATTGCCTTGATATTTCACGACCAGGCCACTTCAACTCTAACGTGCTCTATTCTATTCTCCATTATGCTGGAAATTCGGTGGAATACTGCACACTCAACGAAAAGTTTGGGGAAAATCTATGCTTCCTTAGTAACTTTGTGACGGGGAAATCTTTACCTTGAAATGGAATTTTCTTGGGGTTTAAATACATTTTGGAAATTATTTCTATAGCTCTATAGTTCTTAATTCCTTGATAAATTTCTGTTACATCTTCAGCTATTTGTAAATATTTATTTTCTTGTGTACAGCATTAGAGATTCCCTATCCCCTTGCCTCTCCCTTGATTTTATTGTCTTCTGCGCCAGCATAGCTACCCTCTTGAGATTGCGGCATCGAACGTCGAGTGGCGCGGCGATTAATGAAAATTGCTTAATAAGCATTATTGTCTTACTGGCATTAAATTGTTTAGAGCAACATTCAAGGGGGAACAATGTCGCATTGTTCTCGAAAGAGTTGCCTTCCCGGCGACTAATTGATTGGGAAGGAAGGGAAGAAAAAGACTGCTGGCGCTGTCCAAGAAGCGCCGCTGGTACGACATCTTCAGGAATTCAGGACTCGCATCCTTGACAGCATCTTGACAGTGCGCGAGGACGCTCTCTTTGGCTTTGACTTTGGCTTTGCCTGTTCCAGGAAGAGCGGCTTCCGTTTGTCATTTCCAGCTTGCGCCTGTGTGCTGGCCGTGACAGCAAACTGTCAGAAGTTCGGCGAGCGTTGCGCTGATTGACGAACCCACGCGGATGTACCTCTTTTGTCCTTCCAAGAGTTCCTCTTTTCCCCTATACCCTGGTCCTACCCGCGATGACGACTCAATGTGTCCGACTCCTTATCAGCTCAACGCCAGGGGTCAGGGCTTAATGAGCGCTTGTCTAGCATTGACAGTGCGCCTAAGTGGCTTTGAGTCTTATCCTTGGAATCCCGAAACTGATGCCTCACGCCTGTCAGCCAAGTACGAATGGCTGCAGCCAGCTGGCCCAAATCTGTCCATTGTGCCAGTCCAGTTTGAGCCAGAAGGCAATCGAACATTATTTGTTCTAGCCTGATTAATGTATATGCATTGCAATTCTTTTACAAAGTCATCAGGTTTCTTTTTTGAACTGAATAAACATTTTTAGAAAATTCAATGGTATTTTTTGTAGGTTGTAAGGGATAAAATGAGGATTTAAATGATTTTGTTTATGGTAAAAGATAAATACATGAATTGAAAGATACATTTTTGCAAAGCTGTAATTTAAATTCATGTAGATAGAGACATACATGGATTTATGTGCATGAATTATTTGGTACAAATTATTTGACAGTTGAATTAAATTATTCAGTATTCAATTATGGCTTTTTTAAAAGGATTTTAACTTCAAAATGCTTACTGCTATTAAATCCTTTTAAATATTTATATGACAAAAGCAAGCAATAAAAATATACACATTTACTTTAACCAACTTGGAGTCCATTTATTCTTAGCCATCCTTAAGTTCCTGTGGCTTTATAAGTGCTAATAAACCCAAGGCTCTTTCAAAGTGGACACCATTAGCCAGCCCCCCGCCCCCTTTTTGGCAGTGGCCCATGAATTTGGCCATTAATCTGACCAGGCCAAGTTCGAGCGAAACCCATTTGTCAGTCCATCAGGTATAACAACCAGACGGGAAGCCGCCTGCCCAGGTCCT